ATATTTCTAGTTCGGTGCATCACGACTTTATTCCGAAGAAACAGATGGTGAAAAGAAGTTCTATTTGGCTGTATTGAGGCGAAATTGTGGTGAACAATTCATGGATTTYACACGATGATAATGCAYCGTCGCATCGAGCCACGATTGTGAAAGAATTTCAARGCAAAAACKCTATGAAAGCCATYGATCAACCWCYGTATKCACCAGATTTTTCTGTGTGTGACTTTTTCCTGTTCCACAAATTGAAAATGCCGGTYCATGRAMCCGTTTTACTTTGWAGGYGACAGTTTTTGMCTTTCGCACWGTCGGYTACTCGAWAAAGRTGGTTGTTATACTCTTCGATTTATATTTTTGGAATGATTAACATTCATTAGCGGATTGCTAATTTAGTAGTGTACAAAACCWAATTTACWGCCTTGACAACAACCCTCCGAGTTGCATTTCAGTTTCAGATCGATTTAAATCGATTAGGAATTAATGTAGTAAAACTCGATTTTTATTTTGTGTGGTAAATTGATCTAAATGAGCGCTTTAATTGAGCAAAAGCCAGTTAGGTGAACAACTAACACCCGTGCGAAAAGGTTAGAAGGAAAAATTGAAAACTGAAAACTCACAACTGCTCCAATACTCAGCTTCGACAGGTCAATTTAGCGGTAAACCGCATACCGAATGAATCAAAATTTAGGAAATACTTCACAATTGCGCCAAACAGTTTTCTAATTGAGTACATTGCAGTTTTAAATTGTTAGCGCGAAAGTTTGAAAGCCTGATGAGAGCAATCAGTGGCCGATGTGCTCGTACGTTGAAACCCCAAAATTGCGTGTTTCCTTTGTTTTCATTAAGCTTTTCGAAATCCAGCAACAAAACACGTTAGTAACTTTTGCATTAGTAAAAACAGCAAAAACAAAAACAATAGCAAATGGAGCTACCCTAATGCGGTGGACAGTTTAAGAGCCACTGGTGTGCGGGCAAAATACCCAAACTGGGGAAGCGGCTTTTTAAAATGGTGGTGCCTGAAAGCAGAGTTTTTTCCACCTTGTTTTAGATTCGAAGGAGTCGGTAGTATTTAATCCATGCTTAAAATATTTACTCCTGGCCCTGCAGGTGCATAAACCCGAAGTGCAGCGAGGTGAGGCATCAAATTGCGAACGAAATGAAAGCGGAATGAAACAAAATAGAGCGGAAGCAAAACTTTTGCCCGAAACGTGTGTAAATGCGGGTGAGTGAAATAGTTTYGAAGTGAAATAGTTTTTGGCAATAAAGCGGCTGGATTGCAAATGAACAGGGGGATCAATATGTACCAGCAACAAATTATTGCACCGATTAAGCAGAGAGCAACAAAACACGCGTGCAAGAAAACTATTGTAAACATATGGGTGTGCACATATACATATATGTACATACCAAAATTTGCCCGTGAATACTTGAAAATTTCTGGTTTAGTTTTTCACGCCAGCGAGTTTTTACAGTTATGCRCATTTTTTGCGTGCACCTGCCGTTGATTATTATTCCAAGCAGCTTTGTTTTCTGAGTTTGGCAACACAAACACATTTATTGTTGTTGTTGTTGTTGTTTGAGTATAAGTTGTGTATTTTTAGTGCTSTTAATATTTCTTATTCTCTCATTTTTTGCGCTTTCACTTTAGTGCTTTGCTTTGGTTTTGCATTTATATATTTGCCGAATAACTTTAATTGGAAATAACGTGCGTCCTTGCCATTCTTCCATTTCTAATTTGCTCTTTTTGGTAGGTATTGCCATTGTTTTGGTTACAACGCTGCGTTTGTGAAAAAATTTGCATGTTGTAGTTGTTGTTAATTTGTATTTAGTGCAGAAATAAAAATGTTCAACAAAAAATAAAATAGAAAAATTAGCGTTTGTTTTCACAGCTTGAGTTTGCAATTCTTTGCTGGCGCTTTATTGTTGTTMATTTTTTTGTTGATTCGTGTGTGTGAAATATGAGAAATATTCATAAATGGCCTCATTGTTTACTTGTGTTTGTTGCCAGCGGCAAATGCTTGCAATTTCATTTTGAAAGTCTATTTGTGAGTTGAGGGGCAAATTTAAACTTAGTTCACATAGCCATGCTGTTAGTATATATCTATATCATGCATGGGATTTTGTCTGTAAGTTTGTAGTATTCAGGTTGAAACAATGAACACCCTATAAAGTATCGGGTGATTTTTTAAGAGCTTGATAACTTTTTTAAAAAAAAAAACGCATAAAATTTGCAAAATCTCAT